CAATGATGAAAAAGTGCTAATTCCGGCAGCCAAATCAACGCAAAGTGTTAAGCAGAAAATGTTCGGTAACACGGTAGAAACACTATAGAAGCTAACACTAACACTGTGTAAGGTAACACAACGCAAATTTTATCGTTTGGGTTTATGAATCTTTTTTTTGATTTTTATATTTTATATATTTGTGGTTTTTGTATGCCTAGGTGTACTTTACGGTAAGACGTCTCACAGACGAATGACTAACTCCGCATGATTTTTGACAGTACCAATCAAAAGGTGATTTTGTCGAGTCAGCAGCCTACTGTGTGAAAACTTGAGATAGGGTTGCCTCCATATCGATAGATTGGGATGGCAACCCTTTAAAAAGAAAGTGGCCACATCAGCTGCCACATTTTTACCCCACATTTTTAGCTGGGGTCAAAACCGAAACGGGGTGGCAACTACAAAACAAGTACAAATTCCAAAACCTATGTTTTATCTTTTCTATGGATTAAGATAATGTTGTGTTATATATATACTATACTATATGGCTTATAACACATTGAATTTATCTTGATAAATTTAACGTTTTCAACTGCAAGTATATAAAAGACAAAGATGATGTATGTGCTGCAGGAGCTAATATGAACATTTGTTGATTGAATCAAATTAAGTTTCGTAGAAAAGAGCCACATTTGCAGTTCTTGTACAAAAGATACTTTGTCACCGCAGCACAGTTGCCGGGCAAGAAAGAAATATGGCACATGACAAAGCAAAGTTGCTGCTGCCAAAAAGCCGTGGCAGCCACGCCCCCAGAGTCCTTCCGCCAACCCCCTACCACTCTTCGGTCTGCTCAAAGTATGGAAGAGTAAGCTCCCAGAACGTCGTGCCACGAGCCACGGAATGCGAATGGGTCTGCGAGTGTGAGAGCGGAACGTGGCCATTGTGGCAAGTGCCAAAAAATGCCACACGAATGAGAAGTCCATTTTCAGGACAGGCTAAGTAAAAAAAAGAATGGGAGGGGGGGGGGTTCTGCATTTTGCTGCAAGCCGTTGCACAGCCAAAACAAAGGCGGAAAAACTTTAACCGCAAAAGTTTTTATTTACTCGTTGCTGCCCGAAAATCCGCAGCAGGTGAAACTTCTTCTTTGGTGCGTGGCCAGAAAAACATCAAAGTTGCATTAAGTGGTAGCTACGCTTCTGGCGCAAAAACCCTTTAATTGTATGCCAAAATTAACTCAAAACAATGGAAAATGGAAACTTTGTTTAAATATATGACCAGACCTATTTGAATAAATGCTTTAATGGCTTTTTAGAAGTCTTCTCCTATTAAGAACAGTTTATTTTATTATTTAGTATTCATTATTCATTAGATTTTTTAAACGTTTTTCTTGGAGCGAAATGTATTTTTCTTTCATTTCGTTCTAATTGAATTCCGCCTGGGGCTTGATTCCGATTGACTCAATTATGGCCACCATTCGGCCAATTAAAGTCAATACCTCCGCATTTCAATGGGTCTCACTTCATTTCGCTCGAAAGGTGAAATCCCATCGGGCAGAATCAGAATCGCAAAATGGCATGCCTAATGAGGACTGAAATGCATTTCATTATGCCGGCGACGACAAATGCATGGCCCGAACTCCGGAGCGCTAGCACTTTGGCTAGTCCCTCTTGACCCAATTCCCACCTTTTTGGCCCTGCTGTCGGAGAGTGCGTTAATTGCTCCGGCACTGCCAGATGGATGGGATGGCTGGCAGGTGGACAAGAGAGTCCTGAAAGGACCGGCCGGAGCTGTTGAAAGCTTGGACTGAAGTGTTTTGCGTTCCGGACTCACACATTCCCTGAATTATGCAGTCCGGCCATAGATCTTTTACGAGCCATTAGGCTGCGAATCTGCAAACGTATCCGAGTATCTCTGGCCCAGATCTTGTTCGAGCCACATTTGTGCTGCTCAATCACCGAATTCCTTTCGATTGCCAAAAATAACCCACAACAATGGCACGACCACACAAGCAAGGCAAGGCATTTTTAATGAAGTGTATCTAATATAGAAATTAATTAAACAAAACAGGCAACGACAGCACAGCAGTCGTATTTACATCACATCGGTGTGGATTGCAAGACATTTGCCACATGCCAGCGGCCATGGTCACCCCCTGGGTGCTCAAAAAAAAAAAAAAAAAAAAACAGAAAAGGAAAGAAAACATATATATATCAAAGCAGGGGCGTTCACAAGGAGGGGCTCTTCATCATTGCCTTCACAGGTGACAGCACAAGTTCAACGTGTTGAGTGAAAACAGCAACTCAGCTGCTGGCGTTCCTGAATTTCTGTTTCTGTTTCTGTTTCGGGGTTCATTCATTATGCTTATTAGATTTGCCCGTCTGCGGCATTCTGTGCCTTCATTCTCTATTGTTATTCTGGCACATTTGCGGATGCAGACGAAATCATTAGGGGCTGCGTTTAAATTTAATTACATTAAAATGTCTTCAACAATTTCGGTATGTGTTTCTGTTCTATTTCAAATACGTTTTGCGTCTTTGAATTATTTTGTAATTACTAAATTCCAAGCTAGCAGGCAATTGGATTAGGTCGGAAGTGGCCATGGCCCAATGGTGGATTTAAATATGTTTTTGATGGTAATCCGATACATTTAAAAATTTAGGAAATTTAGGGAGATTTAATTGATTTGCTAATAATCTAATATTTGAATAAATATTGATATTGAATAAATATTAAGATTTATTTAATGTTCGTTTAAAGTTTCACTTTAAGTTTAGAACGCAATCACTTGGAAAATTCCCCGCTGCTCACACATCCCTTAACAATTTCCGGAGGCTCCTGCAGTCGTAACAACAAAATTTCACTTTTCCTTTATGTGATATGTGACATTTATGGCAAGACAGTTTTAAGCCAAAGCTGCAGTTTTACCTCCGAAGATAAGGCCAAAAGTGTGTGAAAGTTTGCCGAGAGTTTGTCATGCAATTAGAGCAACATGCGACGACATGGACGACAGCTCTGGGAAACTCGCGCTCCGCTTGGGGAATGCGTTTTCCGCTTGCCCTGGCCTGGCCCAGCTGGAAAATCAAGTTTTTCCCATCCCATTCCGCCGAGTTGGGGTTGCACTGTGTCCATGGCCAGGAAATAAGGCAGCAGCGAACGAACGAACGTTTGGCCAAAAGTGGTTTTCGCCAATTGAACTCGTTCACCGTTTTTGTTGTTTGTTTTGGTTGCTGTTGTTGTTGCTGTTGTTGTTGCTGTTGTTGTTGTTGTTGTGTGAAGTATCTGTTGCTGCTTGTGATGCAAGCAAATCGAACGGAATCGAACGAAATCGAAATCAAAATCACTTTCGGAATGTGCGTTGCCATGGAGCCAATGAACCGAGCTCATCAGGAGCCATTGGCCAGCGCCATTGGCCATTGGCCATCATCGCCAACGTAGCCATCGTAGCCATCATAGCCATCGTCATCGTGATCGGGGCAGTTATGTAAGCATCGGTGGGAAAAAAACCCGTTCAGGGATACGGTGCACTGTGACGTTTATTTGTTTGTTTTCTATTTCAGCAGCGCAAATAGAAATATGCGTAAGTGGGAAAACATTGTTGCGGCGAAAGTTTCCCCTTCGACGGCTGACCACCAGCGTATTTGATGGCTCTTGGCCATAAACGCTGCTCTTGTTGCCATAAAAACTGGAGCGATTGAGGCACTGGAAGTGGTAGTGGCAGTGGAAGTGGAAGGATGTGGCGCAAAGGAAGTAAATAATGCGGTGAAATGAAATTGGCGAAATGGGAAATGGAATATTGCGGATACAAGTGCAGCTTGAGCCAGAGATGGAAATTCAATTTGGCGAGAACTCCATGGGCAAGCCAGGAAATTCAAAACAAGAACTTTCTTATTGAACAACACCAGATACAGATTTACCGGAAATCCGACAAATTTTAATACCACTTTGAAAATCGCCTACGATTTGTACAAAATAAATGTACGTGCTTAATCTAATAAGCCGCGAACATAAATCCGTACATAAACATTCTGGCCGTCATTTATCTGTCACTTCAAATTAATGCATTAATTGCTGAGCACCGGCCAAAATGTGAAATATGCTCGCAAAATATATGTGAACTGGGATTTACGCCACAGATTTCAGCGCCGAATAAAATTGCACAAAAAAGATTGCCGTGTCATAAACAATTTCGAAATCGTATTCTAATGAGACGGAACGAATCCCCTTAATTTAGTTATCTTAAATTTTAAGATGAAAATATTGTTAGTAAAATAAATACAGTACTCTTTCATTTAACCTATTCTTACTGTGTATAATTGGCTAAGTGTGTTATATGAAAGAGCATGGATCACAACGATTTAAGTGTCTGCATATTTTCCAGCCGACAAAAGTAAACAAATCCGCGAATAAACAAGCGGACATTCTGATGAAGAGACCCCCCACTGACCCCTCCGCCAACTCTTGCATAATTCGCCAATTTTATTTTCCCACACAGAATCCATATCGAACAATTTCATTGAAAACAGGCGCACGCAGAAACTATCAACAATCGAACGTCATATATAAAGCACAAGGAAATTATAAACATTGCCGGGGAAAGAGAGCTCTTGCACTCCATGGGGCTGAGTGGAAATTTGATTTTGGCGTCTCATTTATGAGGTAGATTCGAACCGAAAGATTCAACACATTGCAGGCACAGAATCTGTTTCTATTAATCGTTTTTATTCCACATTGAATTTCTCGCGTGCCTCTGGTCTATTTGTTTGCATTCGCCGTTGTTAATGAAACCAATTTTAGCCAACTTTCCAAGTGCGAAGGAAGGTCAATGCCAGCAGTACGAGAATATGCCAAAAAGAGATATTAAAATTCTGGATATTCAGCTGGGGAGTGATTTGTACTCCCCGGAAAATTTTCTTTGGTATTACATAATGTTTATACCAGCAAATAACGCTTGATTATTGATTTGAAGCATTTAAAATGTGATTTTTCGCCTAATTAGCAATATGGTAAGGTTTCATATATTCTAATTGAACATTTTCCATAAGATCTTTAGCAGGAGAGTAACTTATGTTGGTGAAATGGTAAGATCTTTGAAAATGTAATCCAGTTTATGCAATTTTTTATTCCTTACAGAAGCACATCTTCCTCCTGTCACTCATCTTTCATTTTGGCCTGGCCTCTCAACACGGAACTGAACTTTGCAATCCGCCATTAACTAGACAAGATCTTTTCGATCTGGCCGTGACTTCCGGCGTCAAGGTTTTAGTCCGTCAGGTTGAGTCATTATACGGGGATCAACCTATCCCTTCGAGTCTGATGGTGCATGTAACCACCATAATCGCCAAGAATATTCTGGCCGGAAAGAGCATTAGGTTTATTCTGAAGATGCTCTTTGTATCCTGCAAGCTGAACAAACCGCTGCCAAATGAAAAGAAGCCTCAATCGCCAGTCGAAACTGCACACATATGTTTGGGGCAGTTGGGAAAGGACGAATGCTACCCATATAAAAACACGGAGGAAGGTGACTTCTCTATAGAGATTCCATGATATAAGCTTACTTATTATAAAATATAGAACTAATATAAGTACCTTACCGTGACTATTTTTTGTGTTAATGAATTTGCGATTGCTTACTACCAATATTTTAAGACATGATCTGATTTTTCTTTAATGCAAAAAACGTCAATACTGTTTATTTCAAAAATTGTTTTGAATTACCTCGCACAAAGGAAACTCTAAAAAGCTATTTTCGCCTTCACTCAAAAAACAAACATTTCAGTTTGATTGTAGTCTAAAAATATAATGTGGCATTTGATAGAAATAACCCTGCGCGTTTCCTTCTTGGCCATGCGCACTCAGCAAATTAAAAAATGCAATGTGCCGGCTGGATTGGATTCTTCATAGCCAAATGGGGACCACAAGCCACGGATCGCACAACAGCCGACAAGGTCTGTCGTTTATTAAAATCGGCAGCACATGGAGGAATCGAGAGAAAAAGGGTAGAAGGATGAAAACGGGGGTTTTCAGCCGCACTGGAGCCGTGTCACAAAAATATTTCATAAGCTCGCCACGAACGGCGCAATTAAATGTCAAAGCGCTGTGCTGCCATTTTGTTATTTGATTGCCCCGAGGCAGTCGAAGCCAGAGCAATAAATTCTGCCCGTCTGCTGGGAGTTGCAAGTGCAGCTGTGCAACTGTGCAACTGTGCAACTGCACAGCATCACCTGCTACCGTTGCACTCTGGCTAAGCAAACAGAACTCACGCAGCACATAATGCGCAGACTAAACTTTTGTTTATCAGGCAGTAAGCAGGAGTTTGGCCCAAGTTTATTAATTAACCAGGCTAACGTAAATACAATGCACTCAGCTCAGCAGCTTTTGAGCCCTATTTGTGTCAGGCTAATAATTAGTACCAACCGGCGTATGCGCGATTATCACTGGCAGACTTTAATTGCGTATACGCCCCGTGCGCTGGGCTAATTATGGCCTTCATTGACCAAGAGCGTATGCTGTGAAAATTTCGGATGAAAAATATGGGAAAAAACAGTGCCCTGCAGCTGCTCATAAATCATGCATACGCCATGTTGTACCTGCCAAGGCATTGATTTATGCCCGCCCAGATATTTTCGCGCAATTTTTAAGTAACTTTTATTATGACAAACGCGACGGCATCTGACACTTTGCTTCACTCCTGATTTTGTTCGCAGCTACGAAGCTCATCCCGGCATGGCGATTCCTTAACATTTGGCAGCACATCGGGGGAGCATTTGATAAATGGCCGCCTATTAAGCGAGCACTTAATGGTGCATAACGTGTGATATATTGACAGCCGACAGTGTGCCTGGCATGTAACCGAAGCCGGCTAAGAAATGGGTCAATTAATAGCCAACTGACTGGGCCTAACGTCCCTCTGCTCGCTTTCATTTAGCTGACTAAACAAAATTCCCCTAAGCCAAAGCCATTGTAAATTCCCCAACAATAAACGCACTCGCTCAAAATCTCATTATGTTAAGTAAAAGAAAGGTTGTGCGTGTATCGGTGTGTGTGTGTGTGTGTGTGTGTGTGTGTGTGTGCGGTGGGTTTCGGCAAAACAAAGAACGAAAATTATTACCACTTTTGCTGGGCTTGCAGCAAATTGAATTGATTTTAATCTCCATCTTCGTACACAGGACTCTCTCTTGTTTCAATAAAATTTGCATTTGAAATCGCTTTTCAAAAAACTTACACAGGAATGTATTACACAAAACTTTCTCTCTGTGTGTGTGTGTGCGAGCCTGCCTGTTTCCTCTGTGAATTAAATTCGGTACCAATAAAAAAAGTTAAAGGAGAGAGAGCGAGGAAAAAAATTTGCAAACACTCGGCCAACTTTTATGCGTGTGCCGGATACGATAAGAGCCACAAGGCGATGCCAAAACAGATACAGGAGGAAGGAAGGGGGCGAAGGAGGAGGAGAGGAGGGGGCGGGACTGGATGTGTCTACCCACAATCTGCCCGCTCGCAAATAAACTTAAAAGACATATGAAAATCAGTTTTTGAATATTGGCGAAGAGCAAACAGGCAGACTGTTGCTGCCTGTGCGTGTACGAGCGAGTGTAGCGTATCCTTCGCTCGCTTTCCTCCTGCTGGAGCAGCATTTTCTCCTGGCAAGCAGCCAGCTAAGAAGCGGGGGTCGGAGTGGGAAGTGACTGGGGGGCAGTGGAACCCCCACGGGCATGGCATTAGGGTAAATGTATGCAGAAGTGTGTGTGCGAAGGGAGTGGGTGCGCATATCTCTGGGAGGCTGCATGCAGCAGCAGCCAGCAGCAAATGTAGTACGAGGAATTTAGATTTTTGGGTCATTACTTTGCCAAAGAAAACGCGCTGGCAGAGCAGTCGTGTAATGCCCCGCCATTCAGTTGGCTTTGGCTCTGCAAATTTCCCGGCTATCGATTGAAAGTCAAACCGTTTTGCCAGCATAATGTTTGCCAACAGTGCCGCAGTGCATTTATGCTGATGCTGTTGAACCATTCATTGGATCAAATGCCACTCGGAACACAATTATCGCATCAACACCGCGGAAAGCCACTTAATGCCCACGCAACGCGGTTCAGAGCGAAAAGCTTTTTCAAAATCAAGTTTATTCGCAGCCCAAATTGCTGAAAGGCCATAATGCAGAAGAATAGGCAAAAAGCATCCACATGTACGCGATGCAAATTGCGCGTGGCCAAATGAACAAGCGAGAATCGAAAATACCAAACGAGCGAAAAAGTGAAAAAAAACCATTTCAAAAGGAAAATGTTAGAGCGCCACAACAGGTGAACAGAAAATGCTCAATCATCAGCCGCCGTTCGTTTTCGTTTCCCCAGGCAACGCTTGATTACCACTAGAAATTTACTATCAAAAGCTCCTTATCAATGGGAGCTATTAAAATCTTATTAAGCCCTAATCAGTGTGAAGTGCCTTTGGAAGATTATTTACAAGCGCCTAATCTCTAATTGTGTTTACTTTAAACTTGGCCATCGGGTTGTGTCCAAATCGCTGGCTTCGGGCTAATTTGTTACATCAGCCGTTAAGTCCGGTTAATTGAGATTTGGTTAAAGGGTCAATTAAATTTTGCACTTTGTTTAGTTGTAATCGAATCTATCTTGAAATTTCCCTTCAAGCGAACTAGTTTCGAAGTAAACAAGTTTCCGAACAATTCCCAAACTTGGGCCATCAATTAAAAAACCTTTTTGCCAAAATTAGCGCACTCAATTAATTTGGAAACGCTTTACCCTCCACCGAAGGGCAAATAACCTAGTGGAGACAAGTTGCACCTGCCACGCCCACGAACGTGCCCCTGCTCTAACACACACACACACACACACACAAACTATACACCTTGACAGTGAGTGAAATTTCAATTAATCAAGCGGCGGAAGGGATCCCTCTGGACGGGTTAACCCGTGTCTACACAGCGACCGGAATCGACCCAGAAAGCGCTGTGGATGAGAAGTCGGTGGATGCCACGAAATGTTCTACCTAGAAAATCGAGAGGAGGCGGGGGAATGGCTGCCACACATTTCCCTTTCGCTCTCGCTCTTGCAGGTGGTGATTAGTCATTATTTATTTTAAAATCAATTAGGTTGCCTTGACGTGAGAGTGCAGGATGGAAATAATGGGCGAGGGCGAGGGAGTGGTGGGGGCTTTTGGGAGGAGCCGTAAAAGTTCACGTCTCATTGGCAGGCAAAAACATTTTTGCACATAACTTTTGGCTTTCGGGTTTTGTGCTGAGTAATTTGGCAAATATTTGACATTTGTTTTTGTTCGATTGGTTGGCAAATTCAGCAGATTTTCCCCCAAATTGATTTACCAACTATTTGCAAAGGGGTTTCTTTCTTTTTTCGTTTATTATTCCATAGGCAATAACAATAAACTTCAGAAAATATTCCTTACACATGTCGAGCTCTAATTGGCATTTACTTTGCCCGCAGAAAGCCACAGTCGACATGGATGAATTTTAAATTGGTAAAGTTTGAGAGCCCTAAGACCCGTGCAAAACTAATTAACTTTTGAAATGCGTTGAATTTGCTGTGACACCTGACAAATATTTGATTCGTAAAACTATTGCAATCTGGTGAGCTCGCCCGAAGATGACTGTGTAATTGAACGAATGAGGAAATGAATTGTGCATAGCTGATGAGCAATGAAGACATCGCCTGCCAAATGCAAATCCAACGAGAGTCAATGTCAGTGCTCACAGAGTGCCAGCCAAATGAGCAGAAATGCAGGGCAGGAAATTAAATTTACAAGAAATTGCACAATGGGCGGGGGTAAAGCTGTTGCATATCTACGATACTCTTGCATGGATATAAATTGGTATTTTTGCAGGGGATTAGGCGGAGCGAGTTCCTTAAGCGGAGCTGTCATCGTTTGCAGATTGGTTTTTCGGGCAGCTGGTTTAGGCAAAGCCCAATGACAAATCTGGGAAAATCCCCAGCTAACAATGGAGAGGCATAATTTTGTTTGAATTAGTTTTCCTCTGCCCATTTTCACTTCTTTTGTTCGTCTACTGGTAAATACTTGATGAGTATAAATAGAATATTTAATGGCTCATCAGACATTCAGCAAAGATGAACTCCCATGAATCTCAATCCTTGACGCTCAAAGTTGCTGAAGCGCTTTAAGCTTTTGGAGTGCGGCAACAATTAAAACAAACCAAACAGACGACATGTGGCCCCCATTTCCACTTGTTGTCCTTTTTTGCGTCCCAGGACGAAAGCTTATGAAATTAATCAAACAATGTAAACGGATGTCAGGGCAGGGGGAAATGGCAAGGACTCATGTGGCAGCAGAACACGCATAAATCAGAGCCAGTTTTCCCTGGGAAATAGTTGTGTGTTGAAACAACGTCCCCAGAGATTCTGTCGTGAGCTGGCCAAAAAGTCAAAAGCTCGCTCGAGGGTTGCGCTCTGCGTTCCGCACAATTCCCATTCATCAGAGCCTCTTAGTTCAGAGCTGCCAGCTTGCCGGGCCATATAATAACGCTCTAATTTGCATGTGCAACTGCAACAGCAGTAGCAGTGGCAGCAACAGCAGCAGCAGCAACAGCAGCAGCAGCAGGATGATCAAATGAAAAAT